CAATAGGTAAGCTGGTTTAAGTAAAAGTTTAAGGATGTTTATGCATCTTAAATACTGACAGCTTCGATGCTGGACCGGCATTTGAAATCACCCAAACTCCATATTCCTACGACTGAGATAGTAACTTGATTGGTGCTAGTTTGACAAAAATATAAGGGAAACATAGATAAGTTGAGTTTTGAGACACTCATGCTCGTTTGCCCTTGTTTTTGTCGATTTGACACCAAAGATGACTCAGTTGTGAAGAACAGAAGAACCATGAGCTTTTACTTCCAAGGGACAATGCTAAACGTCATTATAGTTTTAAGAAAATTCAAAATACTAGTCTAATGTGAACCACCTATCAAGGGTCCACCGTATAATTTGCCTAAAACTATCAAGTATGAATAAAACAAATATAATAGGTGTATTGTTTTACATTTCCGAATAGTAAGTTAAAAATGCACTGATCCATTTTAAGTATTTGCATCAAGAAAATAGTCTAATAATTTATTCAGAGTTGATGTTTCAAATACAATTACAATTGAAACCATCACTTAGTAGGGCAGTCTGTACATAATATCTACTTGTTATTCTAAAGACCTAAACTTGCTCAGGTTAACTAACATATTTATCGAGCAAGTATAAAGTTCAAACTCCGAATCAATTAAACTAGCCAGCTTAAGAACCATTATTAATAAATAAACAAAGATGTTTTTACTTTTTACACGATTAAAGGGAAAACCAAGACATACCAAGCATTGTAAGACGATGAAGCGCAGTAATTGTAGTGGTTATATGCTTCTTTGCAAAGTCCAATTTCTTAATATCCCTACATATTTCTTGAACCATTGTTTCACTCTGAACAGCCTTAGTCTTTATTTCTCTAATCTTATACATAAGTTCCTGCATAACAAAACCAAAAGAAAGGTTCAAATTCTGAATCAATAAAACTAGCAAGCGAATAATTAATTATTTCACCTCAACAGCACGAGTAGCAGCAGCAAGATCTTCTTTAGCCTTAGTTCCTGAATTACTCTTAAATCAAAAGAAAAAACAGTAAAAAAAAACACATACCAAATCATGCAGTGATAATCAATTGAAAATCTCAATACCTGTTGACGAACTGCAGCTAAAATTCCAGCATCAACGGTTCGAATCTCGTTCTGAATCTTTTGCATTAGCGGCTCAACGCCAGATAGTGATGCTTCTGGATATAATTTCACGAATTTCACACGAATTTGGGAAATCAAACATCGATTAAAAACAGTTTGAGATTGAAATTGAAACTGGAACTGATGAAATGAAATACCGTTAGGGAACATTTGGTTGATGTACTCTAAGGCGCTTGACTTGTCCATTGTTGAGACTGAGAAGAACTGCGATGAAGAAAATGCCAAGAGTGGTGATTGTAGTAGACGGATCTATGAATCGCGCTTTTGTAGCATTTGTGATCTTCGATTCGTTGTAGATCCAATTGCGAAGCTTGTTGTTGAGTATGGTGTTAGTTCTTTTACTCTCTTCAATCTCTGGACCCTGCTTTAATATGTCAAACTCGGAGGACTTGTAATGAAATTTTTTGAAGGAAAATTAAACGTGAGCATACACAATCTACCTATAATTTTCTAATTCTAATGAATTGTCTCCTTTAAAAAAAATCTATATTATTATTCTATAATTCTTTTTTACCCAATTATTATCTATAAAATAATCTAACCTTTTATTACCCATCTACATATCTCTCTAATTTTATTTTATTTTAGAATTTTAGAGTTTTTAAACAACATTGCATTCATTTTTTAAATGATTTAAATAAAAAATTAATGTACATGTAATAACCGTGTAAATTAGTTTTACGTCGTCTAATAAAAGATTACCAAGTAATTTTAAAATATCTTTGTTATTTGGTCACGACGAGCTTTTACGCTTCATTTCTTTTATAATTTTGAAGATTAAGGATATCTTACTATATTCAACATTGATTTAACACTTCAAATAAGACTTTACTTCTTCTATGTGATGGTTGAGACGTACTGGACTGGGTCGAGAGTAATCTGTGATGAAACATATTAGGCTGGATCATGAGTTATCTTGTGATTGTCGCATGATCTCTCCCTTTAGCACATAAGTTTTTTCCACATCATTCTCGGGCTAGATGATTAGTTTGTTGGTTATTCTAGTTCACAATCCCTCAATCATGATTGGTTCATAGTCTATTAGGCACAAAGTTTGAAAGGGTTGTGTGATTAAGGTAGATTGTCCTAATTCATAGCTCTTTCGGAACAAGGCCCACAATGAGAGTAATTTAGGTGTATTAACTAACGTGAAAGATATGATATTATTTTTGTGGCATGATGTTCCATGATATCTAGGTCACGACTGAGACATGCGTGATAGTTAGGTTCTTGGGGCATGCGGTGCATTGAATGTTTTGTAATGATGAAATTGTCTTGGGAAGGTTCAGAATATATAAGTCATTAATTAATCTATTTGAATGCTTATAGTGATGACCATTGATGTTGGTCCTTATAGTTATATCAGCAACTCTAATGTCTTAGTGGTGATCAACTTACTCAGTCTAGGGAAAATCAAAATCTTTAAATACATAAGTTGCAGTATTTTCCTTCCATTATTTCCCTCGATTGCCTTTGTGTTTTCATAAAGGTGGTGTTTTCCTTCTTTAAGTTCATCTTTAGCACTATGTCAAACATGTTATAGGTATTGAGCTCATCCCTCCTTTGTTCTTTTTTTATTTGCCAGATTAGTGATGGTGATTCTAAAAAAGTTAGATGAAAATGTAGAGTTGAACTTGACAAGGAAATCAGACAACACCTCAGACTTTATGCTGCCACTCGGGAGGAAGATTATGTCGTTTTTTGACAATCTAACAGACCGTGACATCATCCTTCTCGCCAAATCAATTTATTTAATATCTAGCAAAAGATGGTTTTTCTTCACCATAAATCTAATCCCGTGGAAGTAGGGCATCAATGTTTTCATCATCACCGTTGCCTCCAATGCCAGTTTTTCTATCTTCAAATATTTTAGCTATGCACCTTTGAATACCTTGCTAACAAAGTAGACAAGTTGTTTGTCGCCTTCTTTTTCTTAGACAAACATGGAGCTCATTGCTCTATGGATTACTAATAAATTTAAAAACAATGACACACCCTTTGTCGGGTGAAGCAAGACCATTGAAGTCATCAAGAAAGTCATCAGTTTTATGAAAGTTTTTTCATATTCCCCGTTCCACTAGACATTCTCTTTGTTATTAAATGTGGATGAGAAATAGAAAGCTTTGTTTCTGGCATATGAGAGTTAGTAGGAGAGTATTTATATGCGTCTTATCAATTGTTGGACTTTTACTATTGTGGTCGGGTTCCTCATATCGATGATGGCGTAACATTTGTTTGGATTAACTTATATCCCTCTCATGGTCATCATGGATCTCAAGAATGTATGTTCCTGTCCTGACGCTGAATGAACACTTGGCGGGGTTCAAACGCGTGTTGTACTTCCTGGCCGAACTCAGGATGTCTTCTAGATTGCTGGAGTGGTTTCCTTCCTTTGGGATCTTCACGACCATGTCGTATATAAAGACATTGAGATTCTTCCATATCTGATTTGAAAACACAATTTTCATCAACCTCTAATAGATGGCGCATGCATTCTTCAGGCCAAAGGGCATGACTTCATAGTAGTAATTATATTTGTTAGACAAAGAGGTAGTTTTAGGCGCGTCTAGAAGATTCATATTGCTCTAGTTATACTTGGAGTAGACATCCATGAAGCTCATGGTCTTATATCCCGACGATTCATCAATTAATCTATCAATGTTAGGTAATAAATAAGGATCTTTGGGGAAAGTGTACGCACATCTTTCACTTTCTTCACGGGGTATCATTGCACCCTTTTGGGGACATGTCACCTTAAACTCTACATGAGAAACCTCGCTCTAATGCAATATGTATTCATCTCACCAATAACAAATCAATGAAAATCAAATGGTGTTGTTCAATATCTCCCAAATTTCCGTAGGCGGGACATTAACAATGAATTTAATGGACGAGTTATATTAATCACATGTTGTCGCACGAGTAACATATTAGTTTTTATTAAAATGATCACATATTTACCAATCGTTGGTTGGTTCAATGGTGATTAACAAATCAATGAAAATCAAATGGTGTTGTTCAATATCTCCCAAATTTTCGTAGGCGGGACATTAACAATGAATTTAATGGACGAGTTATATCAATCACATGTTATCGCACGGGTAACATATTAAGTTTTGTTTAATTGATCACATATTTGTCAATCTTTAGTTGGTCCAGTGGTGACTGGCATTGAATTTGGTAGGGAGGACCACGGTTAGATCCCCACAACTGCGATCAGAAGAGGTCTGAAACCACTTGATGTCAGAACTGACCCCAAATCGGATTATCAATAAAACAAGACTAAAGATTCAAAAAATAATGAAGAGAACTTAACTATCTTCAAGAAATTAGAGGTGAATTTATAGAAAAAGACCCAAAAAAACTTGCTTAAAGAACCTTAATCTCCAAGAACATGGCACAGCCAAAGAAGAAAGCTGAATACAACAGAAAATTGATAATATTAACAAGTGTGTTGTTCAACTACTCAACTCATTTTCACACGAAATGACATTTCAAGAAGTTTCTGGATGCCCGTGCATTGATTTTTGGGTGTTAAATACATACAATCTATAGGAGAAAAGAAATCTCTGCAGCACTTGCAGGTCCGAGTTGTCTAGGGATCGGTATTCACTCCTGTGAACATTTCACACGAGAATCGCATTTTTAATCTCAATGCCCTTTTACTTTTTGAAAGTCCAAATTTCACTGGAACTCTCATGTCTCATGACTCGTGAGTCATTTTCCGGGTGTTTAGACATTGATTATGGGTTCCAAGCCGCTGAAATTGCAAAGGCATAGGCATAGAAATTTTAGTGTGAAGCACTGAAGACTTCGAAGCAAATTCGTTTTTCTTCTGAGCTTCTGCTAACCCAGAAAAGTCTGGCTTTGATCCTTAAGCTCAATTTTTGCACATATTCCTGCCACAATCACAGGAGAAAATAAGGAACTATATGAAGGTCCACATAAATAATGATAGAAAATAACTAATGATTGATGAAACTCGCCAAACTACTAATAAGCATTCTAAACTATTCTAAAATACATCCATCATCCGTCATACACGCTTGTAATGAATCAGATGGATTCTATTCAGGTTAATGATGGGGCCAAGGTTTGGGGACTAGAAAACAAAAAATATGCCAAAAAAATCTTCTAATCAGATGGATTTTATTTGACGTGTCCAAATATACCAAAAATATGCTACTGAAACTCAAGAAATACACAGACAAAAAAGCAAATGGGAAACATAAAATGACAGAATGGAAAGGAGAGAAATTTTATAGGAATGGGGATGCAGATATTTACCAGTTGACTTGCTTCCTTTCCTTTCACGTAAACAGTGCCAAGTTGACTCTACTAGAAATCAAATCACCCCAACAGGAGTAAGGCTCTCGCTTTCCAGTGCTGAACAATCAAGCAGATAGTGACCTGGCATGTCCACTGAAGCCCGTGCCGATCCAGCTATTCCCAGCTTCCTTGACCAACCCTTTTGTCCTCATTATGCTTCTCAACTCATCAACACAATCCCACCTACAAATGGCTGCATAAAAGTTTGATACAAGCACAACATTGCTAGCTTTGTTGGGTTCAAGCAGCAAGAGTTGCTTTGCAGCAAATTCACCTCTTTCATTATCTTGACTAAGACTGCAAGCATTCAGCAATGCTATCCATACTCCTGCAGTAGGTCTAGTACCGCGCTCAATCATATTTTGATAAGCAGACCATACTTCTTCTATATTACCGGCTCGGCCTAAGACATCTATGAAGCATGCATAGTGTTCCGGTTCTGGGTCAATGCCATATTTCTCCCTCATCATATTGAAACATTTTTTTCCTTCCTCCACCAACCCGGAATGATCACAAGCTGACAAAACAGATAAAAAAGTCACAGAATTCGGCATCACCTCATTCCCTTCCTCCCTCATATTCTGAAAGAGCTCGATAGCTTCATTCCCACACCCATTTCTTCCATACGCATCAATCATACAAGTCCATGAAATCACATCCTTTTGACGGATTCCATCAAACACTGACCGGGCAAGTGAAATCTTCCCACATTTCGCATACATATCCAACAGTACATTACATAATTGGGTATCAAAAGTAAACCCCCGACGAACTGCAACACAATGCACCTGTTTCCCCGTAACAAAATCCAATTTCTCAGAGCAACTAACCAAAACACTAGTAAACGCAACAGCATTAGGCTTCACCAAGCTCATAACTTTAAACGCCTCACCATATCTCCCATTTCTAATACACCCAGAAACCAACGAATTATGCATCACATCATCTTTCCTACCATTCAAACTATAAAACACATTCAAAGCATGATCAACACACCCAACACTAGAATAAAAATCAATAAGAGCAGTGCTCAAAACAACCAAATCACGCCCCAACGAAACCACCAAACCATGAACCTGTCTACCAAGTTCCAAAGCCTTCAAAGAAGCACAACACTTCAAAACAGAACACAAAGTAAACTCACTAAGCTCAACATTCTCTCTCCCCATTTCCCTTAGAACACCAATCGCCTCACGAGGTTGGCTGCACCGCAGAAAACACGACAACAAAGCATTCCAAGCAACTACATCTCTGTGAAGCATTTCATCAAACACCTTAAGGGAATCATCCAATGAGCCGTGCCGTGAATACATATCAAGGAGTGCGGTTTTTGGAACAGTTCCGGAATCTGTACCAGTTCTGATCATTTGTGCGTGGAATTGTTTACCGAGTAATGGAGGAGATGGACGTAAGAGAGGGGTGAATGTGTGAGCATCGATGTCTGAACGTAAACGACGGACAGAACGGAAGAGGTTCCATGCGGAGATGGGTTGACCTCGGCGGATGTAGGAGTTGATGAGGGAGTTTAGTTCGGAAATGGGTCGGTGGAGGAGTTGGTGGTAGTCGGAGAGAGAGTGAAAGTGAGATGAAGAATTCAATGTTAATGGCCGCATCAGCATCTTATGCAGCGCCGAATGCCGATAGTTACTTCTTCCGTCACAGAATATAAGAGAGAGAAAAATAAAATCATAATTATTAAAAATAAATAAAAATATAATAATTTGTCTTGTAATGATCTTTTAAAAAAATGTATAAGAAAATATAAAAATAATTTTAATTAGTTGTTGGGTATAGAAAAACTTAAATATATGATAAATTAAATATAAATTGCATTTAATTTTATTTTAGAAAAAATAAAAGTTGAATTTTTCTTTTATATTTTGAGACAATAAAAATGTATTTTTTTTTCTTACATTTTGAAACGGAAGAAATATCATTTTTAAAACTATTTTTTACATTTACTCCCTTCATCTCATAATAGATGTACTTTTTGAGATTTTCACATTTTTTTAAATAATGATTAATTGTGTTGATTCAATGGTAAAATGAATATCATTTATTAAAATAATTTTATTAATAATAAATAATATAGTAGTTATATGATTTAAAATATGATAAATAAGGATAAGTTAGTGGAAAAAATAATAAATAATACATTAGTATTTTAAATAGACAGATGATTTAAAAAAATTAAAATTAAAAATAAAAGACAACTATTGTGAAATGGAGGGAATAATTACTAAACTTGTGCTTCTAAGAGAGGGCATGGTGAAGACATAAATAATCAAGGAATAAATGAATTAGTGAAGCTTATGAGTCCTACGACAATAACACATACTAGGAGAGTTAAAGATATGCTAAGTCAATTCATGTCCAAATTGATAAAAATAGGATTCAAATTGATGGGAAAAGTTGACAATAACACATACTAGGAGAGTTAAAGATATGCTAAGTCAATTCATGTCCAAATTGATAAAAATAGGATTCAAATTGATGGGAAAAGTTGACAATAACACATACTAGGAGAGTTAAAGATATGCTAAGTCAATTCATGTCCAAATTGATGAAAATAGGATTCAAATTGATGGGAAAAGTCAAAAGTTGTGCTTGTAGTCATGGGAGGAGAAGCATTCCCCATTTTGATGTTTCTTTAATATTATTTCATTTTAATACAACAAAGATGAAATATTCATATATAGTAGTTTCTCACCTCACATGAGCTAACACTCAATATCACGACAACCTTAAAAGTCTCTGACATCACTTATTCACTAGAGGTTGTTACACATTTGTACTTTTAGCGAGTACAATTGGTGTCTATTGTGGAACCCAATAAAATTGACTTGGGCCACTATCACAACATTCAATCGGAGTATTGTCTTTTAGCTCATCCTTTATCACAATGAACAAAAAGACAAATACTTCAACTGGCGAGAAATCTAACAACGAGGAAATTTTCATAGCATAGATGCATGCTGTTATGGACGATCTTCGTTGCTAAAATCAAACCCTGGAGGATAACGTTCTTCATATTCATCAACACCGACAAGGAACATATATGGTGGATAAAGTAGATGTATTAGATCACTAACCCCTATCGACCAGTATATGGGAGACGTTCATTCCTAAGAACTTCAAGCTGCCATTGTTGGCTAAGTTCAATGGACGCAATGACCCATATGAGCATGTGGCTTCCATCAGCACTCATATGAACATCATATGGGAACTTGACTTCTTAAAATGCAAGCTCTTATTTGACACCTTTATAGATGCAACCCTAAGATGGTATATAGACCTCAACAGGCTCTTCATCACAAGCTATCAAGACCTGGTGAATAAGCCAGTCCACTTGTTCGCAGCAAGAAGGAACCGGAAGCTGATCACCACCAGTCTATTCAACATATGTCAAGGCTCATCAGAGTCGTTGAAGGAGTATCTAACCCGCTTCAATGAAGTAGCAATCAAGGTAGTCCATCCAAATCAGAAATGTCCTTGGGAGCATTTCAAAATGGGTTCAGGACGGAACACTTCAACAAATCCCCCGCCCAAAGACCGACAACGTCTTTAGCTAAAGTAGTGACGTGAGCAAAATGTTACATCAGAGGCAAGGAAAGTAATGTTGAAAAGAAGGCCATAACGCAAAAGAGCGCACTCCCAACGTAGACAACTCGCGAAGAAACCAATACACATCTCATATGAGAGATAAAACAAAATTTAAGTGAAGTGGAAAGCTTATGGATAGCTTTACGCCTTTGAACAGTCGCAGAGAAAAAATATGGTGAGAAGTTCTTCACATGCATAACATTTCTCAGCTGCCAACCCCAAAGGCGAACATCATGGAACCATCACCTAACATCTGGTGTAAGTTCCATAAGATCAAAGGATACCATATAGAGGATTGCCTATGACTCAAGAAGGAGATATAATTCTTAATCTATGGGGGTCACTTAAAGAAGTGTGTGAAGGTGCGAGAAACACGAGAAATAGGGGGTTTGAATTGAGTTTCTCAAAATAAAACTTCTCAAAACTCAAACACCAAATCTTCACAGAAGAATAAAAATAAATGAATACAATTATTTTTATCCTAGTTCACTGCTAACGAAGTTAATCCAGTAATCCCACCAAGGTGATTTCTCCCTCTCAATAAGGACTTAATCCACTATAACCAAACTGATTACATAATCACAACAAGACTAATTGTCACTATTGCAAATCACAAAGACCAACTGTCAATATCTTCTTGAGAATCCTGACTAAATCCCTGGTCTCTCAAGGAACAACACCTCAAAGACAAATTGTCAATGACTTCTTGAGTATATGAGTATACATACTAACACTTAGTCACTCAAGGAACAATAAACTCATTGTTGAATACAAGTTTTCGTGTTTACAAGATTGATTCTAAAAAGAAAATTACACAAGATTGAAATATAGATAACAACACAAAAGTGTTAAGAGCAAGCTAATGAACAAAAGCTCCTTAATAGTAAGTTAATGAGTAACAACTCCTTGCTTTATAAAACTTTACAAAAAATTTACAATTAAAGTCCAGCTGCAAAATGAATCAGCATGAGTTTTTCTTAGTTGTTCGACCATTCCAATTATTCCAAGTGATCCTTTTTATAGCCAAAAAGAAATTTATTGGGAAGGTATAATAAGAATACCAAAATTACAGTTGACTTCTTGCAACAGTAAGTAAGAGTGGTAGACAACCTCGTATAATAATATTGTCCTTGTGCCACAAAATGTGATTAGTGAAGGCGGGTGGTGTTGTACCTTTTACTATTACTCACATGAAACCTTTTGATCTTCTCTTATAATCTTTAGAGGCTTCTGGATGTATAATGGTTGAAGCATGCGTAAAAGGATCAAAGTTAAGTCTCCAGAACCATGTCATCAGAGTCTTCATAACTTATTCAACTTGAACCTTGTCTTCAGAGTCTTCAGCACTTGGTCTACAGAGTCTTCACAATCTTTTCTCCAGAGTCTTCAATTATTCAACATAACCTTGTCTTCAGAAGTTGGTCTTTAGAATCGTTGGTAATCTTCAGGACTCGTTCAACAGAACCTTGTCTTTAGAATATTCAGAATTTGGGCAAGAGAATTTGGAATCTTCAGAGCTTGAGACCATAACATAAGCTCTACTATCAGAGTCACAGTCAAAAGCTTTAAAACCAATATTCTATCATAACCGTTATTTTAGAAGCATTATAATCTATGAAACACGAACTTGTATCCGTTAGTGTGTTGAGTCCAAAATCTGATGATGTCACACGTCAATTCTTCAAATTCAGAACCTGGTAGAAAAAACTACCTACTAAACAAACCATTAGGGTACTAAATTGTTATCTAATAACCCATGTAATGTTATCATCAAAACTCAAGGCCAAATGCATAACCAAATCTTGATCTTACAATCTCCCCCTTTTTTATGATGACAAACCATGTATTTTGGTAAACAATTTATACTAGGTTTAATCACATAAAAACATTTCAGAGTTAACTAAACAGATCCCCTTGAATTCTATATTCTCATAACTTGTTTAATCTTGTTCAGAGTCTCCCTCTGAGTTCAAGACTTAAAGAACTTTTGAGATATAACACAAATCAATTAGCATGAAAGAAACACTCCCATGATTGATATTCCATTAGAGTCTGGCTAGTAATGTAGAAATCTTCATCTCGGATTCTAGCTTGCTATCAAAGTTTGATGAGGTATCTGATATGGTTTACCATCAAAGACTGAATAATTTTGCAAAAATATTCTTCTCAGATTCTAGCTTTACTTTCAGAATAATATGGTGCACATAGTCATGTTATCATCAGAGTTTGGTTGATGGTATCAAAGCCTTGTATCAAAGTCTGATTGAACTTTTCAAACCTTCAAAGTCTTGTTGAAAATTCTTTCACATAGAATAAATAACCCATGACTTCTGAATCTCTAGATTATGAATCTCCTTCAGAGCTTCCGAGTTTGACTGATAAGAAAAATTCAGTGAACTTTCTCAAAGTTCCTAAGTCAAATAATGTTATTGGCAAAAACATCATAACATGTTTGGAACAAGATTCTGAGAATAGATATATAAAAATCATATCACTTTCTCCCCCTTTGTCAAAAATAAAAAAGATTGAAGTAGACAAAAGAAACTTTTCATTAACCAAAGACCAATTGTACAAAAAATTTAGAAACATAGAAAGTCTAGAGTTCTAAAAAACAAAGGTAAAATACAGGTCTAAGGGTTTGGTGGAGGAGGATACAGAATCCTGGCCATAAAATTGATGTAGGAGGGTTGCCTGCTGATAAGTGAAAATTATAGTTATTTTTGTATATACTTTTTGTTGCACTTATCGACTCTTTGTTGTTAATAATCGTTGAATAAACCCGACTTTTGTGTAAATATGTTTACTTTTCGAATAATTGTGTTTTTATGTTCATAGTGTAATGTTTGATAATTTTAATGTCTTTTGTAGGTATTTGTTGCATATTTGGAGCATTTAGAAATAAGGTGTCGAAGGCACGACTCCAGATGCGCGTTCACAGAATAAAAGTCCTTTTTGAGTAGCTATGTCCAGGCGAGCACGCTAAGCGCGTTGGTGCTGCTTAGCGTGGGGTGATATT